GGATGAGGAAGGCAGGAGCTGAGCCTCTCCTTCGGAAGTTTGCCGTGGGCTGGGAGCTCTGGGGTGCAGATGGCGGTGGTGGCGTGGGCCAGTGCCAGGGATGCTGGCAGTGCCGGCAGCCGCCGAATGCCCGTTAGTCACACACTTTCTCCATCTCACGGAAGATTCCGCCAGTGTATTTGGAAGCAGATTTTTGTCAGGAAATCAAAATGCTATTTCTGTGTTCTGGCTCCAGTTTTCCTCTCCTTCCTTTGGTTTAACGTTTTGACAGCTGATTAAAATGGTGTTTGGCTGGCTTAGAATGGGAGCTAGGACTTCAAATGCATTTATGTTCTTTAATTTTTTTAATGAATCCTGGAATGTTCTGATTTCTTTAAAAGTACTATTTCTTTTTTTAAAAAATTAATTTATTTGAAAGGCTGAGTGATGAGAGGGAGGGAGAGAGTGAGGTAGAGAGAGATCTTCTGTTGCTGGGTCACTCCTCAAATGACCGCAGCAGCCAGGGCTGGGCTGGGGTCTCCCGTGTGGGCGGCAGGGGCCCGAGCACTTGGCCTTCTTTCTCAGGCCCGTTAGCCGGGAGCTGGTTTGGAAGTGGCGCAGCTGGGACTTGGACCAGTGCTCTGATAACGGATGCTGGTGTTGCAGGCGGCAGCTTAACCTGCTCATTGCTACGCTGGCCTGTTCATTTTACTTTTTGGACTTAGTTTTTGGCACATGGGAAGAGCGCCCTGGGGCGTCGCTGAGTTGGGAGATCTGCCTGACACAGGCACTCCGTGACAGCCTCCTGGGCACCATCTCTTCAGCAGGTCGGAGGGCGCCGAGGGTTCTTTGTGGAAGGAGGGTCTGTGGAGTTCCGTGAGCTGGCGGAGGGGCACCACACTGGGCTCTGCGTTTCCGTGGGCTGAGTCCGTGAGTGGGAGTGCTCTGTAGGTCTCTGCCCCTTCATGGTGAGGACCTTGCTGTTTGAGGGGCCTGCCGGGGACTGCACCCCGAAGCAGAGCCCTAGGAGAGAATGGGCAGTTGAGAGAGCCTTAGCAGAGATGGTCCCGTGAGGTCTGACCGTGGACTTGGCTTTTCCGTCCTGGTTCCTGAAGGCACCCGTACATCTCTGTGAGATGATCGGAGTCCTCCAGGGACTTGGTAGGAGGGGGACACGAGGCCCACCCACGGTGACGGGGTGAGTGCGGGGAAGGCCTCGGGGGTCCGGGAGGACCTGGTGGAGGAGTGGGGACTAGGAGGTGGGTGAAGAGCCTCCTAGGCAGCAGAGGGTAGACACGTGCCAACATGGGAAACCACACGGGTGTCAGTCGGGCACTGAGGAGAATTCTGTTTCGGCTTGTAGAATCCTGCTCCTGCAGTGCAGAATCGGCCCATCCTGCGGTTGTGGTTCTTGTTGGCTCTAAGATTGGTGCTCGGCACGGGTGTCAGAGCTGATGGGTGGCCCCCGGGGGGCTCTGAATCACCCCCGTGAGCTCTGAGGTGCTGACGCCTTCTGTGGTGGCTGCGTCTCCGAATGTGCGGTGTATCAGGGCCTTCGACTGTGAGTGGGCGTAGATCTGGGTGTTCTTCTGTTTGGGAGCTATCCACCCACCCCCACTCCTGCTAGTTGGGGCCTCGGAAGGATCCAGAGTCATCTTGGAGGTTGGGCTGTGTGCATGGGGAGCCATGGGCTAGGAGGGCCTTGGAATGGAAACTTGTGGGTCCCACACAGCCCTGATTGTCATGTGTCGGAGCTCGATGAAGCCCCAGGAAGCTGTGCAATGATTCGTGTTGTGAGTTGGCAGGAGTGTGACGTGGAGAAATACGCTGGAAGAGACAGAGAGAACATGTGAGGGTGGAGGCGGGGCTTGGAATGATGCTGCCACCTGGGAGGAGGGGCTGGGGAAGCGAGGGGCATCCCTGCAGACCCTCACGCTGGCTCTGGCAGCAGGCGTGTGAGACCGCGCAGGTCTGTCCTCAGCCATCTGGCTGTGGCACTGTTTCCTGCAGTCGCAGAAATCTGACATGTGACCCAGATGGCAGCTGCAGGCCAGGAGCAGGCCATCGGCGCTGACTGAACTCTTCGCTAAGTGTCTCAGAGCAAGGGAGTTAACAGTTAGTGACTCTTGAAACCTTTATTTTGGTACGTGTTTGCGGAGGTCAGCACACCTGCGAACACATGGACAGTGGGCAGGCTGGGGGTACAGGCAGGCACACTGGCCCTTTGGGGTCCTTTCATTTCTTTCGTCGGTGTTTAGAAGCCCTACTTTTCAGGACAGTTCTGTCTTGCCTGTGGAGTGATCTGGAGGTAAGTCATTCTCGCGGTGTCAGCAGTGTTAAAGCTAGGAGATGCCGTTTCAGGAGAGGTTGAGGTGGAAGCGTCCGTGCCAGGTGTTCGTGTCGGCCTCACCGTCCTTTCATGCTGTTGCCGTCGTAAGATCGCTAAGGATGAGCAGTGACAATGCAGGCTGGGCCAGGTGGCGGCCCGCCCTGTTCTGATGCCAAGGCTGAGTGAGACACTGTGTTGATGACAGGTAACGTATCGCTCCCGGACTTATTTCTGTCCCTGGTTCTTCAGAGTCTTTGCAGAAGCATTATACTGTCCTTACAGATGCGTGAGACATGCAGGTGGCCGAAGTCACTGTGCCTTCTTCCAGTCAAGAGTCGGGAGGAGGCAGCTGGCGTTGTGGTGTGGCAGGTGAAGAGCTGCTGCCTGCGCTGCTGGCATCCCACGTGGGTGCTGGTTCATGTGCTGCCCGTTCCACTTCCGGTCCAGCTCCCTGCTAACGGCCTGGGAAAAGCAATACAAGATGGCCCTGCCACCCATGTGAGAGACCTGGACGAAGCTCCTGGCTTCGGCCTGGCTCAGCACTGGCCATTGTGGCCATCTGGGGAGTGAACCAGCAGATGGAAGATGTCTCTGTCTCTCCTTCTCTCTCTGACTCTGTCAAATGAATAAATAAACTTCAAAGGGAGAAGAAATGTATGAAGTGAAATTCATTGTTGTGACAGATAATGGTGAAGTGCCTCTGCATTCCATATACTCTTCTGCACGTTGGGGCTGTGGCGTGAGACAGACTGAGGAAAACCCGTCCCCGTGGTGGTTCAAGGGCCCATGCAGCGAGCCCAGGTGCAAGCTGCAAGGTGGTCGTTAGGAGGCTGAGCAGTGCTCCTGTCTGGCCACAGGGCGGCGGCCTCACACAGCAGAAAGGCACCTGCTGCTTGGGGGCTGCTGTGGCTGGGTGTGGCCTCTGAGCAGCCTCCTGGAGTGGCAGGGCTGTGCCTGTGTGGGGTGTTAACTTTCTTGAAGGTCACATACCACGCAGAGCAGGGATTGTGAAATTGCCACAAGGACAGGCAGTCTGGCGTTCACAGTGAGTTCCTGCAGGTGTTTACACCTGCTGAGGTTTGTAGAAACGTAACTTCCTATTTTCATTATCGTGGTTGAATATTTAATAATAGAAATCTGAGTTAACTACAAGGGAACATGTTTAATTCACTGATAATCTCACCGCTGTTCTGACTTCATTTCATTTCGTTTCTGTCTGGTGTGTATTTCATCCTGATTATAAAGCTTGTGGTGCGTGTGTAACAGTAGTATCTCTCCATTAGCACCGTTACCATGTGCAGCTTTACACGCGGAGTGGTAGGTCGGCTTTGACTCCTGGTGGCACAGAAGAAAGCCTGCCGGTCCGGTCCCGTTGTGCGCAGTGTGGAGGAGAGAGCTCTGATAGCCCACGTTGCCTCACTGGTCTGAGAGAGGCTTTGCCAGCCAGCGATGGGATCTCCAGCTGGTCTGAATATTCACCTGTAGTTCTCTCTGGAGCGGGTGGTCTCCCCTGTTTCTTCCCCCAGAGCTCCAGGAACCCCCGTGGCTCCTCCTTGCCCTCCAGAGTGGACTGTGCTGAGCGTGGGCCCTGCAAGTACAGCAGGGCTCTGTCTTCAGGCTGCCGTCCCTGCCCTTTGCCCTCTGCCCTCTGCCCTCTGCCCTCTGCCCTCCTGTTCCTGTGGCTGCTGCCAGCGCGTGTCCTTGCATTTCATCTGCCGTCATCCTGAAGCCGTCGTTCTCAAAGTGTGGCCCCCAGACAAGCAGCCTCCACCTCTCTGGGCGTGGGTTAGAAATGTGGCTTCTCAGGGCCACCCCAGCCTGCTCGAAGCCTGCAGGGATGGTCAGCCCTGTGGGTTTTGTCAAAGCATCCGGATTCTGAGGCGCACGAGTGTTGGAAAATCACTGTTGTGTGGTGTTGCTGCTTCGATCGGAGAAGTTGCACAGCCTTGCTTAGCTCTGCCTGCAGACCTGGGGGTACGGTAGCACAAAACCCGACCCTTCTCAGCCCTGTGGATGGAGCACTCACAATTTTGAGTTGCATATTTGATTTTTTGAATGTCAGTAATTCAGTAGCGTGACATTTTAAATTTGCATTTGGTAACACTTCTGATTAATTGCCATGGCTGTCTTTTGGGGTTTTTGTTGCCATCTGACGCATCAATGAAATGAATGTGGGGGGAGGAGGCGTCACGGGGCCCTCGTCTTGGCCTCCGTCCCTCTCCCGCCTCCATTGACTACTACTGCAGTTGTTCCCATTGAGTCCGGCGGCCAGCTGGCGAGCTGGCTGTGTGAGTCAGCGCGTGCTGGCACCGCCTGCGCGCCGGGCCTCCTGCTGCTCGTGGAGCAGAGACGAGTCTGTGCCTCGAGACGGGCGGGCTTCTCAGCTCCGCCTCCAGTGCTTTAAATAACACGCGTGCTTGCAGCCTGGAGTACACGTCTGACAGCACAGCGAGGCCTTCAGACGCAAAACACAAAGACGCGGAGGTCCTTTCTGCTGCGGGCTAAAAGCTGATAGGGACTTAAAAAGCCAGGCCTTTGGGTGCTGGTCCATGTGGGCTGCTTAGAAGTCAACAGGGAGTTCTGACTTAGGGAGTCCCTACAGACTCTGCAGCACAAGGCTGGGCTGAGCAGGTGCTTAGGGGCGATCAGTGATTTGAAACATCTTGAGTATTTTCATGTCTGTCTCCTGTAGACCTGGAAAGGAAAGAGCAAGAATTAGAGCAGCTGAGAATGGACTGCGAGCACTTTAAATCCCGGCTGGAGACCGTGCAGGCTGACGGCGTGCGGGAGAGGAAGGTACGGAGCCGGGCACCCACCCTGCCTCTCACTCCTCCTGAGCAGCGGCTCCTGGTGTCCACCTTCATCCTCCAGAGGTGGTATTTCACAGGGTGGGATTCTGAGTGGGTTGCAAGGCAGGAGAACAGTTGGAGTCCACAGCGATTTACCATGAAGACTATTCACTTGAGGCCTTTTAATTTTCATCCTTAAAGAGGATGAGGCCAGCGCTGTGGCGTAGCTGGTGAAGCTGCCGACTGCAGTGCCGCATGCTGTATAGGTGCTGGTTTGAGTCCTGCCTGCTCCTCTTCCGATCCAGCTCTCTGCTGTGGCCTGGGAAAGCAGTAGAAGATGCCCAAGTGCTTGGGTCCCTGCACCCACATGGGAGACCTGGAGAAAGCTCTGGCTTTTGGCTTTGGATTGGCAAAGCTCCGTCCGTTGCATCCATCTGGGGAGTGAACCAGCGGATGGAAGACCTCTCTCTCTCTCTCTCTCTGTGCCTCTGCCTCTCTCTCTCTCTCTCTGTCTCTGTCTCTGTCTCTGTCTCTAACTCTGCCTTTCAAATAAGTAAATGAATCTTAAAAAGAAGGTACACTCCAAAGTGCAAGCATTCCTAACAGGAGTCTCAGGGGGAATAAAATGCACATAATGACTTGTACCTGGGGACGGATTCGTTACCTCGAAGTGTTTGTAACTGATTTGGAGATTACTGACGTTCTAGAAATAACCAATTTTATAGGCCATAATAATATTTTTAATATGTGTCTTTATTTATTTTTTGATGGATAAATTGTTTATTCTTCTGTAAACCCAGAACTGTTCTGCCTCTTCTCGCAAACTTTGGGGCTTGGACCTGTTTTTGTTTTTGGTTAATAAGACAATAATAACGTTACTAATAGCAGCCACGCTGTATCAGATGTTTGCTGTGTGGAAACAGGCCATCAGCAGCTGTCTGCACATCACATGAGTCTCCCAGCACAGGTGTATCAGCAGGCACACGCCTAGGAAGGTGAGCTGCTGTCCAGGGTCACGATGCTTGTGTGCTCAGCTGTGTTGCCTGCTGCCTCCTCACTCGCAGGGCTTCCACACGTTTGTGGCTGCAGCAGAGGTTTTCCTCAACCAGTGTTTTATTTTTTAAAGAATTATTTATTTGAAAAGCAGAGTTACAAGGAGAGAAGGACACACACACACACACACACACACACAAATTGAAAGGAGGAGAGAGAGCTCTCTCTTCCATCTTCTGGTTTACTTTCCAAATGGCCACAACAGCCTGGGCTGGGCCAGACCAAATCCAGGAGCCTGGAACTCCATCCAAGTGTCTGGCAAGGGTGGTAGGGGTCCACGTACCTGGGCCGTCATGTGCTGCTTTCCCAGGCGCATTAGCAGGGACTGGACTGGAAGTGGAGCAGGCGGGACTCAGACCAGCGCTCATGCGGGGTGCTGGCAGCATCAAAGTGGCCTCTTAACTCTCTGTGCCACAGTGCCAGTCCCAAGTGGGCTTTGTACAGATTTTAATATAGAGAAAGTAGTAAATAATAGTTTTGTTCTTAAGTCAGAGTTAGATTAAATACCCTATATTTAATGTTGAAATTTTTAGTTTTCTCACATTCTGGTTAGATGTTATTTTTTTTTATTTATTTGAGAGGCAAAGTTAGACAGTGGTCTTCTATCTGCTGGTTCACTCCCCAAATGGCTGCAGTGGCTAGACCTGGGCTGATCGGAAGCCAGGAGCCAGGAGCTTCTTTCTGGGTCTCCCACGTGGGTGCAGGGGCCCAAGAACCCAGGCCAACTTCTGCTTTCCCAGGCGCAATAGCAGGGGCCAATGCTGTGCTGCAGTAGGTTCATCCTCCGCTTGCGGCGCTGGCAGCCCGTATGGGCGCTGGTTCGAGTCCCAGCTGCCCCTCTTCCAATCTGGCTCTCTGCTATGGCCTGGGAAAGCAGTAGAAGATGGCCCAAGTGCTGGGGCCCCTGCCCCCACGTGGGAGACCTGGAAGAAGCTCCTGGCACCTGGCTTCAGTTTGGCACAGCTCCGGCCATTGCAGCCATCTGGGGAGTGAACTAGCAGATGGAAGACCTCTCTCTCTCACTCACTCTCTCTCTCTCACTCTCTCACTGTCTGTAACTCTACCTCTCAAATAAATAAATAAAATATTAAAAAAAGGAAAGAAAAACAAAAAGAAGTGGAAGAGGGGCCTACACTGTGGTGCAGCGGGTTAAAGCCCTGGCCTGCAGTGCTGGCATCCCATATTGATGCTGGTTCAAGTCCCAGCGGCTCCTCTTCTGATCCAGCTCTCTGCTGTGGCCGGGAAAGCAGTGGAAGATGGCCCAGGTCCTTGGGCCCCTGCACCCACGTGGGAGACCTGGAAGAAGCTCCTGGCTCCTGGCTTCGGATCAGCTCAGGTCTGGTCGTTGTGACCATTTGGAGAGTGAACCAACGGATGGAAGACCTTTCTTTCTGTCTCTCTCTCTCTCACTGTCTGTAAATCTACTTCTCAAATGCATAAATAAATCTTTAAAAAAATAATTAATAAAAAAGAAGTGGCATAGCCGGGACTCTAACCAGAACTCATATGAGATACCGGTGCTACAGGTGGAGGTTTAACCTGTGCCACAGGCCACAGTGCTGGGCCCTGTTTAGATCTTTTTTTTTTTTAAAGGGAAAGGGTTTATTGGGGAAAACCCAGCAGACCGAAGGGAAGGGGCAAAGAGGGAAGAGGAGAGTAAGAGAGAAAGAGGAGAGAGGAGAGGGGAGGGGAGAAGATATAGCAGAGAGAGGGGAAACGAGAGGAGAGGGGCGAGCAGATGAGAGGAGAGAGCAGAGGGAGCCACGTGTTCAGGAACAGGCCCTTTTAAAACTTTGCCGGAGGGCTACAACTCGCCAGTTTCCTAACATTCCCCCCTTTTGTTTTTTATAAAGCAGGAGTTCTGTGGGATTACATTAGTCCTAAAAGTCCAGGACGGGTAGAGGGACGGTGATCTGTCTTTAGAGTTACTTCCTGCTGACATGGGGCGACGAGGTGCTCTTCGCTGGCACGGGGCGATGTCTCAGGCTGCTGTCTTCTGGGTGGGGAGCCGAGTACATCCCTGTAGCAGCATTTGGTTGACCGCCTGGTTGCTGAAGGCCTTCGTTTGTTCCATTATAACCTGCTGTGAACAGTTAAACAGACACTGTAGTATAGTAGACTTTGATTCCTGGGTGGGAGGGGGAGGTATGGTGAGCTGAGATAGTGAAAAGTTGGGGCTGCACACGTGGAAGGCAGAGGTTTTGGCTTAAACTTTGGAGGCCAATAGGACCTGGGCCAGAGAGCAGTACACATAGGAGGTTTAGGTCAGAGATAGAAAAGCTTGAGCATATGGCGTCTCCTTCCATTTTCCCAAATGCTCACGGAAGTGATAAAGATGGATGGAGATCGCAGCGCATTCGATGGCGTGGAAGGAATTCTGGGGTGTGTTTTGTGACTGGCAGAAATCCAGGACCCCAGAGCAGCTCAGAGATCCCCAAAGCGGGAGCAGAGTCACTGGGGGACGCTGGATCACCAACGTAAGGTTTTCCCGGCCAACGTACCAGTGTTATATATTTCTGTTATCCGTCACAAAGCACACTGAACACCGGAGTGAGGGAAAGAGTTTATTGGGGAAAACCCAGCAGACCAGGGGGAAGGGGCAAAGAGGGAAGAGCAGAGTAAGAGAGAAGAGGAGAGAGGAGAGGAGTGAGAGAGGAGAGTGAGAGGAGAGGAGAGAGGAGAGGAGAGAGGGGAGTGAGAGAGAAAGAGGAGAGAGGGCAAGAGAGAGAGGAGAGGAGAGGGGGGAGTGAGAGAGGGGAGTGAGGGAGGAGAGGGGAGGAGAGAGGAGAGGAGAGAGGGGAGTGAGGGGGGAGTGAGAGAGGAGAGGAGAGAGGGGAGTGAGAGGGGGGAGGAGTATAGCAGAGAGAAGGGAGACGAGAGGAGGGAGGAGAGCAGATGAGAGGAGCCAAGAGAGCCCTGTTAGATCTTAATAAACAGAAGTGGCTGTCTGGGGGCTGGCACTGTGGCACAGTAGGTTAAAGTCCTGGCCTGCAGTGTGGCATCTTACATGGATGCTGGTTTGAGTCCCGGCTGCTCCACTTCCAATCCAGCTCCCTGCTAATCGGCCTGGGAGAGCAGTTGAGGATGGCCCACGTCCTTAGGCCCTGCACCGTAATGGGACACCCAGGAGACGCTCCTGGCTCCAGATCAGCTCAGCTGTAGCCGTTGGAGCCATTTGGGGAGTGAGCCAGTGGATTGAAGGCCTCTCCTCCGCCTCCCTCCCTCCCCCTCTATTTCTCTATAACTCTTTCAAATAAATAAATTAAGTCTTTTTAAAGAAGTGGCAGTCTGAGTTGCTCTGGGCCTCAGTGTGCGTGGCCTGGAGTTGCGCAGCAGGAGAGGATTCGTAGGAGCTGGGAGTGCGGCCCGCTGCTCTGGGCCTGCCTTAGATTGCCGAGGTTCTTCGGTAAGACTGAAGCTTCAATTGAACAGAATCTTATATTTTTGTTTCTTTTTCTTTTTCTTTATTTTTATTTTTTGACAGGCAGAGTGGACAGTGAGAGAGAGAGACAGAGAGAAAGGTCTTCCTTTGCCGTTGGTTCACCCTCCAATGGCCGCCGCGGCCGGCGCACCACGCTCATCCGAAGGCAGGAGCCAGGTGCTTCTCCTGGTCTCCCATGGGGTGCAGGGCCCAAGCACTTGGGCCATCCTCCACTGCACTCCCTGGCCACAGCAGAGGGCTGGCCTGGAAGAGGGGCAACCGGGACAGAATCCGGCGCCCCGACCGGGACTAGAACCCGGTGTGCTGGCGCCGCAGGCGGAGGATTAGCCTAGTGAGCCGCGGCGCCAGCCTTTGTTTCTTTTTAAATTGATAGCCCAAGGAAAAATGCATATTTTTGCTGGCATTTTAGTTGTGTTGCTTAAAAACAAGCCATTGCAGTAACTTTCAGAGGAGATGAAGTGGCTGTGTCAGGGAGTTCCTGTCTCCTGGCTTATTGCCCTGGTACTAAGACCTTAGTTAAAGTGTGGGAACATTTTAAACTATCTTGTGTGTCCAGTTGAGTTTCCTGTTGAGTAATCCACCCAGTTTAATGCAGATAGAAACCCCTTGGGTTTGCTACAACAAGGCCGTAGCTTGTGTGCTGGTGGACAGGGCCTCCCCGCTGCCTCCCCGCTGTCTCCCTGCTGTCTCCCCGATGACAGGGCCTCCCCGCTGCCTCCCCGCTGCCCCCCCCCACTGTCTCCCCGCGGCCTCCCCCCTGCCTCCCCGCTGCCTCCCCACTGCCCCCCCCACTGTCTCCCCGCGGCCTCCCCGCTGCCTCCCCGCTGTCTCCCTGCTGTCTCCCCGATGACAGGGCCTCCCCGCTGCCTCCCCACTGCCCCCCCCCCCACTGTCTCCCCGCGGCCTCCCCCCTGCCTCCCCCCTGCCTCCCCGCTGCCTCCCCACTGCCCCCCCCACTGTCTCCCCGCGGCCTCCCCCCTGCCTCCCCGCTGTCTCCCTGCGCCTTTCCTGTGGTCTCCGGCGCAGCTTATGATGCAGGGCTCGCAGAGCTGACTTTATTTTATTTTTTAAAAGATTTAATTATTTATTTGAAAGAGTTACACAGAGAAAGGAGAGGGAGAGAGAGGTCTTCCATCTGCTGGTTCACTTTCCAATTGGCTGCAACGGCTGGAGCTGCGCCAATCTGAAGCCAGGAGCCAGGAGCCTCCTCGTGTCTCCCATGCAGGTGCAGCAGCCCAAGGACATCTTCCAGTGCTTTCCTAGGCCAGCAGAGAGCTGGATCGGAAGTGGAGCAGCCGGGACTCAAACCGGTGTTCATGTGGGTTGCCGGCACTGCAGGTCAAGGTGTTAACCCGCTGCGCCACAGCGCCGGCCCTGCCGGCAGATTCTTGTACTGTGACAGTGCACCTGGGATCATCCTGGTATATCTACACAGCTGTACACCAGGCAGCTCAAGCCACTTTGGTTTTTTTGGAACTGCTTAGCAGATTCACAAGAAGTTTTAAGAAGTCCAGGGGCCTCTCCCATGTCCTTCCTTTTTTTTTTTTTTTTTGACAGGCAGAGTGGACAGTGAGAGAGAGAGACAGAGAGAAAGGTCTTCCTTTGCCGTTGGTTCACCCTCCAATGGCCGCCGCGGCTGGCGTACTGTGGCTGGCGCACTGCGCTGATCCGAAGTGAGGATCCAGGTGCTTCTCCTGGTCTCCCATGGGGTGCAGGGCCCAAGCACCTGGGCCATTCTCCACTGCACTCCCTGGCCACAGCAGGGAGCTGGCCTGGAAGAGGGGCAACCTGGACAGAATCCGGCGCCCTGACCAGGACTAGAACCCGGTGTGCCGGCGCCACAGGCAGAGGTTTAGCCTAGTGAGCTGCGGCGCCGGCCTGTTACTATTCTTTATTGGATCATGGTTTTGTTGTTATATGAAACACTTGTGTAATCTGTTCATAGTTTTCTTTGAGAAGTTGTACGTTGGGTGTGTCTCGGTATGTGTTGGGTTGTCTCGGTGTGTGTTGGGTGTGTCTCGGTGTGGGTTGGGTGTGTCTCGGTGTGCGTTGGGTTGTCTTGGTGTGCGTTAGGTGTGTCTCGGTGTGCGTTGGGTGTGTCTCAGTGTGTTGTCTCGGTGTGCGTTGGGTGTCTCTTGGTGTGCGTTGGGTGTCTTGGTGTGTTGTCTTGGTGTGCGTTGGGTGTCTCGGTGTGCGTTGGGTGTGCGTTGGATTGTCTCGGTGTGCGTTGGGTGTCTCTCGGTGTGCATTGGGTGTGCATTGAATTGTCTCGGTGTGCGTTGGGTTGTCTTGGTGTGCGTTGGGTGTCTCGGTGTGTTGTCTCGGTGTGCACGTAAACGCCTAGCTTCAGCGTCAGTTGTTGAGAAGACTGTCCTTCGTGGGGTTTCCTCGTCAACGTCAGCAGCTGGGTTTCAGGTGGCTTTGAGTGTCCATTCCTGGGCCAGTGCCCACGGACCTGCTTCTGGGCTTTACAGGAAGCCCTGCTTCTCGGTCCGGCAGTGTTGGGCTGCCGAGGCTGCCGTTGGTCAGTCGTGTTCGGGTCTCCTGAGTCTTCTTTTAGACGCAGAGTATCACTGTGTACAAAGAGCCTGCCGAGATTCTGATGGCGTTGAGTCGAGTCTGGATCGGTTTAGGGGAGGCGCTGTCTTAGCAGTACTCAGCTTTCCAGTCCGTGGATGTGGTCTCTCTCCACGTGTTAGAGCTCTGGTTTCTCTCAGTAATGCCTTACAGTGTGTATTCACAGATCGTGTACCTTTTTTTTTTTTTTTTAAACGATTTATTTATTTACTTGAAAGCAGAGTTAGAGGCAGAAGTGGAGGGGGTGGGGAGAGAGGAGAGGGGAGTGGGGGAGGGAGAGGTGAGAAGAGAGGAGAGAGAGGAGAGAGAGAGATCTCCTATCTGCTGGCTCACTCCCTATATAGCTGCAACAGCTGGACCTCCACTGAGCTGAAGCCAGGAGCCAGGGCTTCTTCCAGGTCTCCCTCGCGGGTGCAGGGCCCAAGGACTTGGGGCATCTTCTACTGCTCTCCCAGGCCACGGCAGAGAGCTGGATCGGAAGTGGAGCAGCCGGGACTCAAACTGGCACCCATATAGGATGCTGGTGCTCCAGTTGGTGGCTTCATCTTCTACACCACAGTGCTGGCCCCCCTCTTTTCTTTTTTTTTTAAGATTTACTTATTTATTTGAAAGTCAGAGTTAGAGAGAGAGAGAGAGAGCGAGAGCGCGCGCGAGCAAGCTTCCATTCAGTGGTTCAGTCCCCAATTGGCCGCAACTGCTGGAGCTGTTCTGATAAAGCCGGCAGCCAGGAGCTTCCTCCGGGTCTCCCACGTGGGTGCAGGGGCCCAAGGACCTGGGCCATCTTCCACTGCTTTCCCAGGCCACAGCAGAGAGCTGGATTGGAAGTGGAACAACTGGGACTGGAACTGGAGCCCATATGGAAGCTGGCACTGCAGACCGGGGCTTTAACCCGCTGTGCCACACTGCCAGCTCCATTTTTTTTTAAGGTTACTTATTGGATGGGCTGGCGCTGTGGCGTAGCAGGTAAAGCTGCCGCCTGCAGTGCTGGCATCTTATGTGGGTGCTGTTTCAAGTCCTGGCTGTTCCACTTCTGATCCAGCTCTCTGCTGTGGCCTGGGAAAGCAGTGGAAGATGGCCCAAGTCCTTAGGCCCCTAGAAGAAGCTCCTGGCTCCTGGCTTTGGATTGGCCCAGCTCTGGCCATTGCAGCCATTTGGGGAGTGATCAAGTGGATGAAGGCCTCTCTCTTTGTCTCTCCCCTCAACCGCCAACTCTGCCTTTCAAGTAAAATAAATTTTTTTAATGAACGTGTACTTCAGTTCATTGTCTTGGAGGTTCCTAACCAAAGACTGAGGGGGCCTCGTTGGTTTGGACTCCGATCATGGCATTCTCGTCGGCAGAGTCCGAGGCAGCACGGGGCGTCACGGTGGAGGGAGCATGTCTGTCGGTGTGGTGTCTTGTGACTGGCCACGCCTGTCACCTCCCCAAAGCCCCGTTTGTAAGCACTGTCCATGTCACCGTCCCTGCTGACGTCCACAGTGCGTTTCCTTCTTCAGCGGAGACCCCTGTGACAGAGGAGAGGGATACTTGGAGCACTGGCGGTCCTTCCTCCAGGGTCACTTTGTTTTGATTTCAGGAGAAACTGGCTCTTCGGCAGCAGCTGAATGAGGCGAAGCAGCAGCTGCTGCAGCAGGCAGAGTACTGCACGGAGATGGGGGCGGCGGCCTGCACCCTCCTGTGGGGCGTCTCCAGCAGCGAGGAGGTCGTCAAAGCCATTCTGGGCGGAGTAAGCCTGGCCAGTGCCGACCTAGTACTGCTGATCAGTGCTGTGCGCCCCTGGATGTGTTCTGAGTGTGTATCGGGCCGCTGAAGTGAGAGGAGACTGAAGGGGCCCTCTGCCTGTCTGCTGTTCACTCCCGTGGTCCCCGACGTCCGCGGGGCTGCTCCGCCGCACCCCACTGCTCTGGGAGCCTCTGCACAAGATGTTCTCTCCCAGAGCCCCTGGGGTGCTTGCGACTGTGTGACTGCTGACGTGAACGACCTTCATGGGAAATAGAATCAAAAGATTATTTTGGTGCAAAACAGGGAAATCCATCATAATTTTTCCATAATCATTTTCCATGAACTTCTTGAAGTCTTCCATGCGTGGATTTCAAAATTTCTCATCCCCAAATAAGCTTACCTCTGTTATCTCTTTGAAGTGCCCTTGTGCCTGCATTTACCAGGGTTGCAGCGTGCTTGTGCAGTGATGTACTGTTTAGTTTTTTGGATGTTACGTGTTCCTAAACAGGCATCTGTGTGTGTGGACAGGTGTACGGGAGGGTTTCACGCAGGGAGAAATGGCAGGAGCAGGGAGGGAAGCTCGAGGAGGTGGAAATGGTGCTCGGAGGCAGCGGGGGCTGAGTTTGCCTTTGACAGAGAGGGGGATGACACGAGGAAGCTGTGGGGCGATGGGGTGACCTTACGTGATTAGAAACAGGATAACTATGGGAAGGTGTGACATGTCATTTCTCAACTTTCAGGACAAGGCTTTGAAGTTTTTCAGCATCACTGGGCAGACAATGGAGAGTTTTGTGAAGTCCCTGGATGGAGATGTCAAAGAGCTTGATTCTGACGAAAACCAGTTTGTCTTTGCTTTAGCTGGAATTGTGACAAGTAAGTACTGCTCGCCGCGCGTGACGGCTGCTCTGTGCACGGGGACCGCTGGCAGGGGTGTGTGCCAGCGTCTGTGGGCATCATGTGCTGTGCAGGCCTCACCCTGGAGACCCTGAGCCTGGCTCGGGGGTGGCACCAGGTGTGTATAGTTCGGAAAGTCACTGCAGGTGAATCTGGTGTCAGTTACGAAGAGCGACCTGCGGGAAACGTGGGTGAGTGTTGTAGGTGCTGTTTGCTTATGTGCATGGGCAGAAGTGAAAACGGACACAGGCTCTGAGGTCAGCTAGCTGCCCTTTGGATCATCATCCTTTAGCTAACGTCTGGCTAAAGCGACAGCCTCAGGCCAAGCTGAGACTGAGCTCTTGTTATCATTTTAGGATCATAATTAAGGAATTCCAAAGACTGACATGATCTCTTCAGTAGATTGCTCCTGCGAGATTGTGATGTTAAACCTTTCCCGGAGTAAGGATAACACGGACAGACTGACAGGGATGGAGCCGGGGTGGGTGATTTCTCGGCAGCTGGGAGGTGGTGTCCTCGGGGGAGCCTGATGTTCTGAAGTCATGGTGGTCCGGCCGCTGCCTGCGGGGCCTCTTATGGCCCGGTGTGTAAGCCGCTTTCTGCCCTGCCAGCATCCCATGTTGGAGCACCATATATATATATATATATTTTTTTTTTTTTGATTTTTAAATATTTATTTATTTATTTGAAAGTCAGAGTTTCAGAGAGAGAGGAGGTGGGGGGGGGCCTCCATTTGCTGGTTCACTCCCCAGTTGGCTGTAACGGCCGAAGCTGCGCTGATCTGAAGCCAGGAGCCAGGAGCTTCTTCCAGGTCTCCCATGTGGGTGCAAGGGCCCAAGGACTTGAGCCATCTTCCACTGCTTTCCCAGGCCTTAGAAGAGAGCTGGATTGGAGGCGGAGCAGTTGGGACTGGAACTGGTACCCATATAGGATGCCGGCACTGCAGGTAATGGTTTTACCTGCTGCGCCACAGCGCCGGCCCCACGGAGCACCATTTTGAGTCCCGGATGCTTCTGATCCAGCTCCCTGTATTGCACCCGAGAAGGCAGCAGCAGGTGGTCCAAGTGCTTGGATCCCTGACACCATGTTGGAGACCCCAGGGGAGTTCCGGGCTTCTGTCGCCGCCGTTTGGGAAACAAGTCAGTAGATGGAAGATCTCTCTATCTCTAACTCCGCCTTTCAGATAAAAATCTTAAGAAAATCGTACCCACTGTGTGATGTTCCCTTCTCCATGGTCTTTCTCTGCTGTACCCCGTGCGCCTCGTGCGGCCATTCTCTGCGACTGGAGGGAGGAAGATGGTGTTTTCTTCATGGTGGTTCTGTGTCATCCCAGTGCATCAGGTCTCGCGTACATATTTTTTCCGTAGTCTCTTAAAAATTGCTGATGCGTGGGTGGAGCCGACTGCCGCGTCTGGCAGTCTCGTCTCTCGGTGGCTGTCTGTGTTCATCCCAGCGCCTGTCGTCGGAGCAGACTTGCTGTGCTTCCTGTTTCAGTGCTGGAAGGTGGTCTCTAACAGAGGCGTTAGCAAGCTTGGCGATTGGGCTTCTTCTCTCTGCAAGGCCCCCGGGGCTGGTGATTCGCTGCGTGAGCGTGCGCTGCCTGCTGCAGTGCAGAGGCACTTGCTGTCGGCCAAGGCCAGCGTGTGGCCCACATTCCAGCCCGGCTGGCCTTGTCTTCTGCCCATGTGCCTTAGGTGAGAGCCCTTGTGAAGAGCGGGAAGTGGGTACTCAGTTTTGCACATGTGTGAATTTGGGAGGAAGCGTACCTTCCGGTGCTGTTTTTTTTTTTTTTTTTTTTTTGTTTTAATTTTTTTGACAGGCAGAGTGGACAGTGAGAGAGAGAGACAGAGAGAAAGGTCTTCCTTTGCCGTTGGTTCACCCTCCAATGGCCGCTGCGGTCGGCGCACCGCGCTGATCCGAAGGCAGGAGCCAGGTGCTTCTCCTGGTCTCCCATGGGGTGCAGGGCCCAAGCACCTGGGCCATCCTCCACTGCACTCCCGGGCCACAGCAGAGAGCTGGCCTGGAAGAGTGGCAACCTGGACAGAATCTGGTGCCCCGACTGGGACTAGAACCCAGTGTGCCAGCGCCGCAGGCGGAGGATTAGCCTAGTGAGCTGCGGCGCCGGCCTAGAACTGTTCTTTTTAAAAACTTGCATACACACGGTCTTTATTGTTGTGTATTTACCTTTTTGTAGTTCTGTGGGTTTGGACAAATGCATGTAGCCATGTGTGCTAATTGGCTTTTTGTTACTGTAACTAAAATCCCAGCACCAGTGCTGTGGTGTAGGTGGTAAGGTTGCCACCGGCAGTGCCAGCAGTCCCACATGGTGCCTGTTCAAGTCCCTGCTGCTCTATTTCCTGCTCAGCTCCCTGCTGATGTTCCTGGGAAAAGCAGCAGAAGATGGCCTAAGGCCCTGGGCCCTGCGCCCACATAGGAGACCTGGAAGAAGCTCCTGGCTTCTGGCTTTGGCCTGGCCTGTTGCTGCCATCTGGGGAGTGAACCAGTGGATGGAAGACCTCTCTCTCTCTTTCTCTGCCTTTGCCTCTCCTTCTCTGTGACTTTCAGATAAATAAATAAATATTTAAAAACAAAACAAAAATTATTTGAGCTAATTTTTTAAAAGATTTATTTGAAAGTCAGAGTTAGAGAGGAGAGAGAGAGAGAGGTCTTCCATTCACTGGTTCACTCTCCAAATGGCCGCAGGGGCCAGGGCTGAGCCAGGCTGAAGCCAGGAGCCAGGTGCTTCCTCCTGGCCTCCCAGGTACAGGGCCGAAGCACTTGGGCCATCCTCCACTGCCTTCCTGGGCCACAGCAGAGAGCTGAACTGGAAGAGGAGCAACCGGGACAGAACCGGTGCCCCAACCGGGACTAGAACCCGGGGTGCCGGTGCTGCAGGTGGAGGATTAGCCTAGTGAGCCGCGGCGCTGGCCCTCTTTGCCTCTTATTTCTGATTTCTGTGTCCAAGTAATGTTAGAGAGTAACGCAGTGTGGAAATTACTCTTTGGTGTTGGGAACACAGGTAGGACTGGATCAGCATAGCCTCCTGACGGCCTCCTGGGGGCACACAGCTAACCAGCCCGGCCTTCTGTGTGTCAGGACCATCTCTCCTGGCCCTCCAGGCCGCTGCCCATCCCTCCCCCACACAAAGAGGAGGGGTCGCAGTGAGGCGCCCTGTCCAGCCCTGCTGCCGTGAGCGGCCCTGGAGTCTTGCACCTGTGGCCTCTGGGAAGAATCTGGTGCCAGATGATGGTTTAGTCTGTGTGGTTCTGTGGAGGGGAAGGAAGGTGCCAGTTTGAGCCTGGTCCTGCAGGTCTTCTGGCGTCCGGGGGGTAGTCGGCGCAGGCGTGGGGGCTGCTGGTAGGCGCACTCCTGCTGGGAGTTGGGGCGCCCCAGTTGAGGAGAACCTGTGTGGTCTCAGGCGTGTGCTCCAGGGTCCGTGGAGACTGGTGAGCTTTCGCGCTGCCTCCAGTGTTTCCCACAGTGGCTGCGTCATTTGGTGTTCTGGTGCTGTTTTCCCCGTGTCCAGAACAGACTCTTCTGGAAGTATTGGTTCTTGGAACCATTTGGTTCTGGGTGGCTTGAGCTGCAGGACACGTCCTCAGAGCCCGGGTGGGCGCTCGTCACGGCGCTGCAGCTCCCAGAGGCAGGGGTGTCGCGTCGCTTCGTGGAGAGCTGATTCCCAGTCTGAGCACTGTGAGCTGTCTCTGGATCATGTCAGATCATCTCTAGGCAGCAGACTGTAGGCAGCAGGTGGCAGCCAGGCGTCAGTGGAGGCCTGTGGAAAGGAAGATGGGCTGCCTCGACCCAGGCAGCTCCGCCGCATGAGTGTCTTCCAGGGCGTCTCTGGACAGGGACGCTCGCTGGTGGTCAGAGGTCACCGCGTGGACACTGACCCCAGGGCCGTGTGCTGGGTCACGTGGGAGGGAGAGAAGCCAGGGTCTAAGTGGGCTGGTACACTGGGGACTGTTTGTAGCTGGCAGTAGGGCGTGTGCATTTGTGGTGCCCTCACACGAGGCCTCCGACTTGGCTGAGCTCAGCTGCACTGTGGTTGCTTTGGACAAGGCAGCTTTTAAGTCTTGACGCCTGGACTGAGGGGCAGGCTCAGACAGGCAGGGGTCCTCCTGCCGTGCGTGCGGTCCTGTCCCTGCAGTGTGTCTGGGCCTTGGCTCAGGGGCTGCTGTGCACTGTGTGATGCCAGACCGCATCTGTGGCCTCTGCTCCAGGATGTTGGTAGCAACCAGGTGTGGCAGCCACGAGTGTCTCCGAGCTCGGCCCCCCTGGCCAGTTTGAGAACCACTGCTTGGAGCATGGGCTGACCTTTCCTGCATGTCGTAGAGGGTTTGTGGTGCCTGAAGATACTCGAGGTGGTGGTCAGCGGGAGTTTTGACATCATCACAGGACTCTGACGTCACTGCAGGACTCTGACGTCACTGCAGGATTCTGACGTCACTGCAGGACTCTGACGTCGCTGCAGGAGTCTGACGTCACTGCAGGATTCTGACGTTTGGTTTTGTCCAGTCACACGGTGGTCTTAATTAATTCAGCACATCTGTTCTCTACAACATCCTGTTCATCACAGATTTTTTTTTTTTTAAATATTTATTTATTTGAAAGATAGAGTTACAGAGAGAGGTAGAGATAGAGAGAGGTCTTCCATCTTCTGGTTTACTGCCCAGATGGCTGCAACCGCCAGAGCTGTGCTGATCCAAAGCCAGGAGTCAGGAACTTCTTCCCAGTCTCCCACGTGGGTGCGGGGGCCCAAGGACTCAGACCATCTTCCACTGCTTTCCCAGGCCATAGCAGAGAGCTGGATCGGAAGTGGAGCAGTCGGGACTAGAACTGGCGCCCATATGGGATTCTGGCGCTGCAGACCGGGGCTTTAACCCACTGCGCCACAGCGCCGTACCCAACCACAGATACTCTGTCTTTTGGTGGTTGGTCTTGGATAATGTGTAAGTTTCTTTAGATAATTCCCTTCCTTTGGTTGGTGGAGTATGGCCTGTGTGGTAAATTGGTGTTTCATGGGATTGGCGTTTTTCCTCCAGACCTCTCTCAGTGAGGAGTGAAGCCTGACCAGCCCTAGAGGTTTCCAGATGAACGCAATAAAGAGGAGGTGGCGTGCGAACGCCGCGGAGTGAGCCCACAGGGCCGAGTGGGCGCAGCTGTTAGGTAGGAAGTCAGTTATGAGCTTATGTGTGTGTGACATAAAGGCCTAAAGAGAAGACGTCTATGTCCAGCATCTGCATCTGCTGACAATGTTCCAGGGGCAGCCCGGTATTCGCATCCTGCCCTGCCCCTTTCTACCTGATGACCTGCCAGGTGGGGGCCCCGCCCCTTCTGCCTGACAAATCTTCCACAGTCTCCCAGATGCACCCCAGTATCTGCATCTCAAACACCCTGCTCCGGAGCCCCATTCTCCAGGGGGTCCTGCTCACCCTTCCTCTGAACCCAGGATGGCGCCAGCTAGGCTCCTCCTGTCTGATACCTTCAGGGGAAAACTTAGATAGAAGTTTTTCTATTTACATCCAAAAAGCCCTTTGTTCCAAGAGGAGCAGAGGTGGGGAAGCAAGACCCATCTCCTTAAAAACCCCCAGCCTCAACTAGACTGCGCACTCAGCCCTCTGCCTCTATGCTGAGTTGGCCGCCTGGTCTGCCCAGGTGTAATCTCTCCACTCAACCATGTAACTTTGCTCTTTCTCCCCGCCCCCCGCCCCCAGTCCGAGTGACTGGACACTCTCTTAGGCTCTGTCTGGAGAGGTGCCCATCCATTCTTACGGATGTCTCTTCCCTAATAAACCTTGCTGTTTTACCTCCCACTACTCTCTGTCTCACGCCTGAATTCTTTGTTGTGCGAAGACAAGAACGCTGCAATTTCTCCGGTAACAGTTTGTTCTTGCAGAGCTGCAGGAAAATAGTTCACTCTTTTTTTTTTTTTTTATAATTTATTTATTTATTTGAAAGAGTTACATAGAGAGAGAAGGAAAGGCAGAGAGAGAGAGAGGAGTCTTCCATCTGCTGGTTCACTCCCCAGATGGCTGCAGCGGCCTTAGCTGTGCTGATCTGGAGCCAGGAGCTTCCGGGTCTTCCACGCAGGTGCAGGGACCCAAGCACTTGGGCATCTTCCACTGCTTTCCCAGGGCCACAGCAGAGAGCTGGATCGGAAGTGGAGCAGCCGGGACTTCAACCGGTGCCCATATGGGATGCGGGTGCTGCGGGTGGAGGCTTTACTCGCTACACCACAGCGCCAGCCCCAGTATTTCACTTTGTTAGCAGAATGTCTGCTGTGTCTTCTTCAGCTGCCTTTTCATCTCTCGTGGCCTTCTGCTTCCTCTTCCAGTGCTGCTGTGGTGGGGGCTTTGTGGAAAGTAAACTCCCGGTGGAACATCTTGGTTGCTCTTTCAGAGGGGTTTAGGCCGTCTCCTGGAGGGGCCTCCGCACACCTCGCTGGGCCGCTCACTCATCACTCTGGGTTGTGGGCGGTGCGTGGATTGCACAGGCGTCAGCAGTCGTGGTTGGATCACATCGGCTCTCTGCCCGTGTGTGTCCTGGGGTGCTGAGAGCATTTTCAGAGTGCCGCCCAGGGAGGTTTTGTTGCCTGCTCTGACTGAGCTGTTGTTCTGGATGACTGAGTTTTGCGAGTTCTTTGTGTATTCTGGATTCCAGTCTCTTCTCAGATACGTGATTTGCAAATATTTCATCTCCCCCAGGAGTTGTTTGCTTCCTTGATAGTGTCCTGAAGCACAGACATTTTAGCTTGATTATATCCAGACTGTATCTGTTTTTCTTCAGTTGTATTTTTTCCTGTGTCTAAGCGGCCGTTGTCTCATTCCGTGTCCATGAGGATTTATTCCTATTGTTGTGTTCCGGATTGCCCAGATAGAAAGAACCAGCAAGACTCACCGTAATGCAAAGAACAAAGGGACTTTATTTGTAGGTCCAGCATGCTGGGGCCTGACCTCCCGTTCCGTGTAGTGCTGGGAGACCAAGACCCCCTTCTCTGTGTTCTCCGGGGGGGGGGGGGGGATAGTTCCCAGGCAAACAAGTATTACCTCCGCATTCCTTCCTTCCCCTGGCCCTGCAGGACAAGGACGGCCCACCTTATTGGTTGCTTCCACCTGGTCCTGCGGACCAGACCAAGGACTGCCCGGTGTCAGGTTTCTTCTTCTCACACCAGGCCCATCCTGGGCCTAGTCAGTTTTTTTGTCTTGTGAGAAGCCTGTCATGGCATGGCTCTGGCCTCTCACACTATGTTTTGTTTTAAGGATTTTATAGTTTTAGCTCTTACATGTTTTGAGCTAATTTTCTAGTGGTGTGCAGTATGGAGTCCACGTAACCCCTTCAGGTATGGATGTTCAGTTGTCTTGACCCCGTTTCTTGAAAAGATTGTTCATGTCTCCCCTGCGAAATTATTTTGGCATCTTTGAAAATTAACTGACCATAAATGTGAGGGTTTATTTCTGGACTCTCAGTTCTACCATTGATCTTTGTGTCCTTATGCTTATCATTATTTAAAAATGATTTATTTTTATTTGGAAGCAGAGATGGAAAGAGTGAGAGAGACAGAGATGGAGAACTTCTGTCTGCTGGTCTCTCCCCAGATACCTGCAGCTCTCAGGGTTAGGCTGAACCCGGGAGCCTAGAACTAGTCTGGTCTCCTACGTGGGTGGCAGGGACCCGAGTACTTGGGCCACCTGCTGCCTCCCAGGGTGCACATTAGCAGGAAGCTTGGATTGGAAGTGGAGCTGGGACTTGAACCCAGGCACTCAGATGTGGGATGTGGTGCCTTAGCCACGGTGCCAGACACCCACCCCTGTTGTTATCTCTATTGCTGAAAATAAGTTGAATTTGTTAGACTCCAAAGCAAAAGTCTCACAATACGTCCCCAGTCTGTGTGTCCTTCTCAGCACACGTAATTGATACTACTTCATTTCTTAAAGTTTGTGACTGCTCTGCTACCTCTGGGAAAGCCTAGGAGCAGTTCCCTGAGAAATGAACATGGAGGAAAGTGTAACAGAAAGTGGAACCAGGCGGCCGTCTGCTCACGCTGGGTGCTAACAACATCCATTCTGAGCCTGGATCCACTCCCAGGTGCCCCAGGTACACCAAGAGTCAGTGAGGGAAGTGCAGACTGCAGTGAGAGTGAGAGTGAGTGGTGAGGGCGGACAGGTGCTGGGCTCATTCACACTGGCTCCACGTTGTAGCTTACACGTGAGCCATTGATACTAAATGAGACGCAGAACTGGCAGTTGCTGTTCCAGTTCCGTATATAATGACATGGGCTTCACCCACCAGTAAGCTTGCTGTATTGGATTGTTTTTTGAAGATTTATTTTATTTATTTGAGAGACAAAATTACATAGAGAGGTAGAGACAGAGAGAGTCTTCCATCTGCTGGTTCACTCCCCAGATGGCTGCAACAGCCGGAGCTGTGCCAATCCAAAGCCAGGAGCCAGGAGCTTCTTCCGGGTCTCCCACATGGGTGCAGGGGCCCAAGGACTTGGGGCATCTTCCTCTGCTTTCCCAGGCCACAGCAGAGAGCTGGATAGGAAGTGGAGCAGCTGAGACTTGAACTGGTGCCCATATGGGATGCTGGTGCATCAGGCCAGGGCTTTAATCTGCTGCGCCACAGCGCCGGCCCCTGGATTTTGTTTTGACCTGCTATGATACAACATATTTTTTGCTGATTTTTTTTCTTTTCTTTTCTTTTTTTTAAGATTTATTTATTTATTTGAAGGAGTTACACAGAGAGAAGGAAAAAGCAGAGAGAGAGGTCTTCCCTCTGCTGGTTCACTCCCCAATTGGCTGGGGTGGCCGGAGCTGAGCTGATCTGAAGCCAGGAGCTTCTTCCCGGTCTCCCATGTGGGTGCAGGGCCCAAGGACTTGGGGCATCTTCCACTGCTTTCCCAGGCCACAGCAGAGAGCTGGATCGGAAGTGGAGCAGCCGGGACTCGAACCAGTGCCTATATGGGAGCCAGCACTGCAGGCGGTGGCTTTACCTGCTACGCCACAGCGTTGGCCCCGATATTTTTTCCTTCAGACACGTGTTAGTGATGTTTCCACTACCCGTTGCTGAGCAACAAAGCACCGGGGATGTGAAGGCTTCCGCAGCACTGGCTCTGCTCGTGAGTTTGCAGTCCAGGCAGAGCTTAGCAGGGACAGTTCGCTGCTCCCCGTAGCACCCAAGGCCTCAGTGGGGCGGCCGGGGTAGGGAGGGGTCTCCCGGTCTCCCCCTCTCCCCTCCCTCTCTCTCCCCTGCCCTCCCCTCTGTAGTCTCAGGCTTCACTGTGCTCCTTCTGTGTCACCTTTAGCCGTGGCAGCCTCAGGTGACCAGGGCTGGCAGAGCCAGTGGCCGGAGACCAAGGTGGAAGCCGTGGCGCTGCTTCCTGCCCAGCCCTGGGCATTGGCGTCAGCTCTGCTGCGTCCTGTCAGTTACAGGGGAGCCCAGCTCCCGGCCTGCCTGTGGGCCACATCTGGAGACAGCTGGCTGCGTGCACAGCTACCTCTGCACTCCTGCCGGGCCCCAGGACAGGGCCTGTGCCTACGTGAGGGCTCCCTGTAGCTGCTGGCCCGGCGCGCTGGAGTGTGCTGGTGCTGGACACACTCGGATCCCAGTGCTCTGCCCTACCGCACAGGCGTCTGCTCTACGTGCGACATCCCCGCTACTTTCCTAACTCCTGTGGTTGTCAGCCGTGCTTTTGGGCGTGCCCTTGTGCTGTCTGGGTTTTCGTTAGGTATCTCAGGAGAGAAACAGCAGCAAATACTGTGCCCTGGGAAGGTCTAGATTCTGAAGCAGCAGTGATCTGATGCTGTGTTGCTGTTTGTTTTGCAGATGTTGCTGCCATAGCGTGTGGTCGGGAATTCCTGGTCACCTCCAGCCGGGTGCTCCTGGACACCATCCTGCAGCTCCTGGGAGACCTGAAGCCGGGCCAGTGCACCAGACTCAAAGTGTACGGTGGGCTGTACCAAAAAGTCTGTCTCCCCGTGGGTTAGAACGTGCGCACTGCGCCTGTCTTCAGGTGAAGGCAGTTAGCCTGGCAGCAGTTCTGCAGACGAGAAGGAACGGCCGCCCGGAGGTGTAGGTGTGCCCTTCTCCTAAATAGCATCGTGGGAAAGTGGTGTCAGGAGCAGTGTTGCTGCCCTAGAGTGCCTGGGGAGCCAGGTGCTGTGTGGTGACGCTCCAGGGTCGTGTTAGCCTCAGGGCCCTCATCTCCAAATGACTCAGGTATTGTTCTGCCCGTGCCCAACCGCCAGCTGCCCAGACCTGTGTTCGTGTTCATTGTTGAGTGGAAACCTCCTCAGACGCAGCGGCCACACTGATGTCTGCTCCAGTGTCTGAGCAGGCTTGACTGGTTCTCTGGGGTCTTTTTCGAGGCTCTGGGCGAGAATCTTCTTGCGGGCTGTTGGCAGCAGCCAGTGTCTTGTGTTGCCAGGCCTTGGTCCTTGCTGGTGGGCATCCACCCTCTCTGGTGGCCACGTCTTCAGCCAGGGCAGCTCCAGGAGGCCTCCCTCGGGCATCGTCTGCTAGCAGCCAGCAGAGGCTGTGCTCCTGTGGGCCCTGTGTTCAGGGTGGACGCACCGGCTGATAAACGGCCTCTTAGTGCAGTCAGCCGCAGCGTTCCCGGTGCCTGGTAACGGAAACAGGTGTGATGCGTTGGTAGTCCCAGGGGTCGGGGAAGGAATTAGTGGAGAGCCATTTAGAGTTCTGTCTGTCACACTGCTCATTCTGAGGGCTGGCTTTTCCTTCTTGGAGCATGGTTTTAAAAAAATTCATTTATTTGAGAGATGGACAGCTTCCATATGCTGGTTCACTCCCCAAGTGTCCGCAGCGGCTGAAATAGTCCAGGCCAAAGCCAGGAGCTGAGAGCCCAGTCCAGGTCTCCCACACGGGAGGCAGGAACCCAGTTACTGGAATGGTCACTGCTGCCTTCCTGGGCCTGCACTGGCCAGACGCCAGAATCAGGTCGTGGAGCCATGAATCAGGCTCAGGCCGGTGTGGAGCGCGGTGTCAGCCGGGTTTGCCTGCTGGGCCCAGCACCCACCTCTTGGAACACTTTCTTATACTTCCTTCTTTCTAGTCTTGGCCACATCTTTCCCGCATCTGTGGCCATCCTGCCTTGGTGTTTCTTGTCTTTCCTCGTGTGAGTTGAGAATTTCCTGTTGCTTGGTGTGCCAGGTCCTTCAGGGTCCTCCCTGAATGTTTTGAATGTACATCGTAAGAATCTGAGTCCTGTTTGGCCCCCTTGGGACATTGTGATTTTTTGTTTTTGTAGCAGTCTTCTTGGTGGTGAGGCCGTGCGTGGTGGCGGTGGGCTCGGCGGTGAGGCCGTGCGTGGTGGCGGTGGGCTCGGCGGTGAGGCCGTGCGTGGTGGCAGTCTTTATGGTTTCATTGTCAGTCCCAGTGCAGAACTCTGGCATGTGTGCCATGCCGTGGCTGTTGGGACCAGGATGGGGTCTGTGTCCTCAGTTCTGAGTCTGCGGAGGCTGTTTCTGATCAGGCCCACACGTGTGCATGGCATGAGTCCGGGGGTCTGTGAGCAGGTACTGGGGTCCCTCCATTGAGCTGTCAGTTTGTACCCTGCTGGTCATCCCTGCTGTGACTCTGCCCCCAGCCAGCTCAGGGGCTCGGAGGCCTTTGCGTGTGAGGGGCGCTCCTCTCCTGCTGACGGCCTGGGAGGTCCCATGCCACTGTGGTCACTGCCAGAGACCCCCTTCCCACCCTGAACCAGACGCCTGCGGGTGCCGTCTGTGGGGACCCTGGCCGCCCGGAGTGCCTGGGGTTGTGAGGGATGGACTCCGCGGGTTGCTGGCTCCCCCGGTTCTGGTCCCCCCCGCCTGTAGAGTCCTCGGAAGGCTGCTGTCTGGCTTCCGTCTGGAGGTGATAGCAGCGTTCCCGGCGGCGCAGGACGAGGTGTGTTCCCGCCCCTGTCTGGAACCAGATTGTCGTTTCAGCGTCGTCTGACCGTGTGTGTGGGCAGCAGACGTGACGAGGTCAGAGCGCGGGTGGTGCTGCTCTGCGGACTCCTTGTAAGCCTCCTGCGTCCCAGCAGAGCCAGCGCTCGGCCTCTCCCTGCGTGACGGGCGTCGAGGCTGTGTGCAGGTTCTGCGCGGTAGACACGAGGCTGCAGGGACTGTCCTTGTGTCCTTGACCACGGCTCCCTGCCCGCCTGGGCGAGGGCTGGCGCTGGAGGAGGAGGCTGTGACGTCCGTTGTCTGAGGTGCTGCCAAGCTGGCCCCCGGGTGTGCCCCTGCCCTGCCCTGCCCACTGCTGCCCCTGCACACTCCTGCCCGCTCCTGCCCTGCACACTCCTGCCCCTGCCCTGCACACTCCTGCCCCTGCACACTCCTGCCCTGCACACTCCTGCCCTGCCCTGCCCTCTCCTGCTTCTGCCCTGCACACTCCTGCCCTGCCCTGCATGCTCCTGCCCTGCACACTCCTGCCCCTGCCCTGCCCTCTCCTGCTCCTGCCCTGCACACTCCTGCCCTGCCCTGCATGCTCCTGCCCTGCACACTCCTGCCCTGCCCTGCATGCTCCTGCCCTGCACACTCCTGCCCCTGCCCTGCACACTCCTTCCCCTGCACACTCCTGCCCCTGCACACTCCTGCCCCTGCCCTGCACACTCCTGCCCCTGCACACTCCTGCCCCTGCACACTCCTGCCCCTGCCCTGCACACTCCTGCCCCTGCACACTCCTGCCCCTGCACACTCCTGCCCTGCCCTGCACATTCCTGCCCTACCCTACCCTGCACACTCCTGCCCCTGCACACTCCTGCCCTGCCCTGCACGCTCCTGCCCCTGCACACTCCTGCCCCTGCCCCTGCCTGCTCCTGCCCCTGTCCCACCCCTCCCACTGCCCTGCCCTGCTCCTGCCCCACCCCTTCTGCTGCCCTGCCCCCCTGCCCCTCCCCTCCCCTGCCCCTGCTCCTGCCCCTGCCGTGCTCAGTGTCCTGCGTCCCCATCAGAGTTTCCTGTTTGTTACATCCCATGAAGAGCAGGTGTACCTTCCACCAGATACGATTGCACCCCGAAGCTGAGGCTCTTTTCTTGTGCCTGTTCAAGCTCGGAGTTGGTGGCCACCAGTCCCTTCCCCGGTGCCAGGGTGAGGCTTGTGAGCAGGGTGGGTCTCTTCTCGCATCTCTGGTTCTCGTCCCCGGGCTCTGTGCGGTTCAGTCCTAAGGAGCTCTTACTGAGTGCTGGGGCCGGGGGCGGGAAATGCCTTCAGAGCTGTTGTGTTTTCTCGTCTTCCATCTGACAGCAGTGTACAGACCGTTTGGTGTCTAATCCCGCTTGGGGTCTTAGCACGCGTCAGCCTGAGCCAGTCCCCACCGTCGGCCGGAGCCAGTCCCCTCCCGTCGGCCTTGGCTGCTTGCTGACACTCGCACGCTGGTTGCCTTTCCCATCTTCAGGCACTGCTGTCTCTGCTCACCGTCCTCTTCATGCTGACTCCCAGCCTGTCATCCTCTGGAACTGAGACCTCCTTTTCTCTTATTTCTTTTTATTTTATTTTATTTTTATTTTTTGACAGGCAGAGTGGACAGTGAGAGAGAGAGACAGAGAGAAAGGTCTTCCTTTGCCGTTGGTTCACCCTCCAATGGCCGTCGCGGCCGGCGCACTGCGGCCGGCGCACCGCGCTGATCCGAAGCCAGGAGCCAGGTGCTTTTCCTGGTCTCCCATGGAGTGCAGGGCCCAAGCACCTGGGCCATCCTCCACTGCACTCCCTGGCCACAGCAGAGAGCTGGCCTGGAAGAGGGGCAACCGGGACAGAATCCGGCGCCCTGACCGGGACTAGAACCCGGTGTGCCAGCGCCGCTAGGCGGAGGATTAGCCTAGTGAGCCGCGGCGCCGGCCTATTTCTTTTTATTTTTTTAAAGTTTTATTTATTTATTTGAAAGAGTTACACAGAGAGAGGCAGAGAGAGATCTTCCATCCACTAGTTCACTCCCCAGTTGGCTGCAATGGCTGGAGCTGTGCTGATCCGAAGCCAGGAGCCAGGAGCTTCTTCCAGGTCTCCCACATGGGTACAGGAGCCCAAGGACTTGGGTCGTCCTCCACTGCTTTCCCAGGCCACAGCAGAGAGCTGGATTGGAAGTGGAGTAGCCGGGACTTGAACTGGTGCTCATATGGGATGCGAGCACTGCAGGTGGCGTCCTTACCCGCTACGCCGCAGCGCCGGCCCACTCCAGGACCTTCTTATACTATAAATAACCCCTTTTCTCCTCGGCCTCTCCTTGCCTCTTTCCTGAGGACTGCTCTTTCACCATTACCTGCGTGGTCAACGTTACTTACTTGCAGCACTTGGTGCCTGAACTCGGAAGCAGGGCTTCGCGGCCGTTTCTAGGAGGCCATTCCTCGTCCCCTCCTGCAGACTCGCCTCTGCGTCGGCCAGCTTCCCTGTGCGTTAACTAAAACACCTGCGCTCCTGAAGGAGGGCGTAGTGTGGCTCCGAGATAGGCGGCTGCTGGTCTGGCAGCTGGTGAGCTGACGGAATGCTCGCAGGAGGGCCTCAGGGAGAGGCGGGAGCAGAGGCTGTGCGAACCCTCTCCCAGAACCGCCTTCCAAGGGCCCCCCGTGACCCCGTGACCCCCCACTAGGCTCACCTTCCAGTCACTGTAATTGAACCAGCCACTAGCATTCATCCACTCATGCTGACACAAGACTGGGGCCACGCCTCCAACACATGGGCCTTCGAGACACCGTAGTGTCCACTGTGGCCATCACACAATGCAGCACACATTCACTTCATGCCCCGAAGTCCCCAGGTCTTAGCCCAACATCAGTTCAAGCATCCAAAGGCCAGGGTCTCATCTGAAACTGAAGGGAAACTGCTCCCGTGAGAGGTAGAGTTTCAGACAGGACTGACAGAGAGGGAGGTCTCTGTCTGCTTCCCAGTGGCCGGAGCTGGGCCGGTCTGGAGCCAGGAGCCAGGAGCTTCCCCTGGGTCTTCATGTGG